GACAGAGGAGGCCATCCACCGACCTTGAAGGTTGGATCCAGACATGATCAAAGATCCGAAGTGCCTAAACTTGAGCTTCAGGTGTTGGAACTCGAGAGGCAGGAAGGCGCAAGCGTGGTAAGAAAGGGATAGGCCTTGACCCCTCTATAAAGGGGGAGAATATCAAGCGTCCCTAGCGTAACCGTTCGGGACTTGCCTAAAAACACAGAGTCATGCCAACAGGCGTGGTTGGATTACCCATACCCGTATTGATGAGGATCCCACGATAAGAGGGACACGATCTCTGCTTCGACAAGACGTGCCAAAGAAACCGCCTCGTAATGTGTGCGATAGCTGGTTGTAAAAAAAGGTTCGAATAAGGGTCGGGCTGTGGCGTGATGTCACGCTACGAAGAGTTGTGAGCGGATTAGATTTGTGGATTATTATTCTCTCTACGGTGGTATGTGAAATTTGTCTTGCAGAGCCGAACACGACTTAAGTGTTCAAAATTTACCTTGAAGTATTCGGAGATGGAACCCGCCTTGCAATGCCGAAGACAATCTGCACGTTGAACTCATCGTCATTGAAGCCTGGTTCAGGGGCTACTAAGGGAGTCCTGGATAAGGGGGTATCCGGACAGCCGGACTATGTACTTTGGCCGGACTGTTGGACTATGAAGATACAAGATTGAAGACTTCGTCCCGTGTCCGTATGGGACTCTCCTTTGCATGGAAGGCAAGCTTGGCGATTCGGATGATAGATATCCTTCTCTGTAACTAACTCTGTGTAACCCTAGCCCCCTCCAGTGTTTATATAAACCGGAGGGTTTAGTCCGTAGGACAAGGACAACAATCATACCATAGGCTAGCTTCTAGGGTTTAGCCTCTATGATCTCGTGGTAGATCAACTCTTGTAATACTCATATCATCAAGATCAATCAAGAAGGAAGTAGGGTATTACCTCCATTGAGAGGGCCCGAACCTGGGTAAAACATCGTGTCCCCAGTCACCCGTTACCATTAGTCTTAGACGCATAGTTCGGGACCCCCTACCCGAGATCCGCCGGTTTTGACACCGACAATGAACATTATATCTGGATCTTGTTTGATGTGAGACGGTTATTCATTTAAATCAGGGAATAATGGTTGTTCTATTTATATGAGTAATATCTTTTATGGTCATGCACCCTTGCTGAGTGGTCTATTTTTGTTGAATCTCGATAGTGATGATACACATATTCATAATATTGAAGTCAAAAGATGCAAAGTTGATAATGATAGTGCAACTTATTTGTGGCACTGCCGTTTGGGTCATATCGGTATAAACCGCATGAAGAAACTCCATACTGATGGACTTTTGGAATCACTTGATTATGAATAACTTGGTGCTTGCGAACAGTGCCTTATGGGCAAGATGACTAAAACTCCGTTCTCTGGAACAATGGAACGAGCTACTGAATTGTTGGAAATAATACATACAGATGTATGCGGTCCAATGAGTGTTGAGGCTCGTGGTGGTTATCGTTATTTTCTTACCTTCACAGATGATTTGAGCAGATATGGTTATATCTACTTAATGAAGCATAAGTCTGAAACATTTGAAAAGTTCAAAGAATTTCAGAGTGAAGTGGAAAATCATCGTAACAAGAAAATAAAGTTTCTACGACCTGATCGTGGTGGTGAATATTTGAGTTACGAGTTTGGTCTTCATTTGAAACAACATGGGATAGTTTCACAACTAACGCCACCTGGAACACCACAGTGAAATGGTGTGTCCGAACGTCATAACCGTACTTTATTGGATATGGTGCGATATATGATGTCTCTTACTGATTTACCACTATCGTTTTGGGGTTATGCTTTAGAGACGGCTGCATTCACTTTAAATAGGGCACCATCAAAATCTGTTGAGACGATGCCTTATGAACTGTGGTTTGGCAAGAAACCAAAGTTGTCGTTTCTTAAAGTTTGGGGCTGCGATGCTTATGTGAAAAAGCTTCAACCTAATAAGCTCAAACCCAAGTCGGAGATGTGCATCTTCATAGGATACCCAAAGGAAACTTTTGGGTACACCATCTATCACAGATCCGAAGGCAAAATCTTTGTTGCTAAGAATGGATCCTTTCTAGAGAAGGAGTTTCTCTCGAAAGAAGTGAGTGGGAGGAAAGTAGAACTTGATGAGGTAATTGTACCTTCACCCTTATTGGAAAGTAGTTCATCACAGAAATCAGTTCTAGTGATTCCTACACCAATTAGTGAGGAAGTTAATGATGATGATCATGAAACTTCAGATCAAGTTACTACCGAACCTCGTAGGACTTCCAGAGTGAGATCCGCACCAGAGTGGTACAGTAATCCTGAAACATTTGTTAATGAGTTAGTTGCGGGATGAAGTATTACGGAACTAGTAAAGAGACTTGCCGGTAACGAGATTGAACTAGGTATGATGATACCGACGATCGAATCTCGGGCAAGTAACATACCGATGACAAAGGGAACAACATAAGTTGTTATATGCGGTTTGACCGATAAAGATCTTCGTAGAATATGTAGGAACCAATATGAGCATTCAGGTTCCGCTATTGGTTATTGGCCGGAGACGTGTCTAGGTCATGTCTACATAGTTCTCGAACCCATAGGGTCCGCACACTTAAAGTTCGATGACGATTGGTATTATGAGTTTATGTGATTTGATGTACCGAAGGTTGTTCGGAGTCTCGGATGAGATCATGGACATGACGAGGAGTCTCAAAATGGTCGAGACATAAAGATTGATATATTGGACCATGTTGCTCAGACAACGGAAGTGTTCTGGATAGTTTCGGATAAAACCGGAGTGCCGGAGGGTTACCGGAATCCCCCGGGAAGTAATGTGCCTTAGTGGGCCTATAGTGGAGAGAGAGGGCCGCACCAGGAGGTGCCCCCCCCCAAGGGGAGTCCGAATAGGACAAGGGGAGGTGGGCGCGACCCCTCTTCCCTCTCCCTCTCCCTCTCCTTCCTTCCCCCTCTCTCCCTTTTAGTGGAAACCTACTAGGACTTGGAGTCCTAGTAGGATTCCCCTCTTGGGGGCATGCCAAGGAGGGTCGGACGGCCTCCCCTCTCCTCCTTTATATACGGGGGAGGGGGCACCCCATAGACACACAAGTTGATCTTTAGCCATGTGTGGTGCCCCCCTCTACAGTTTTTTCACCTCGGTCATATCGTCGTAGTGCTTAGGCGAAGCCCTACGCCGGTAACTTCATCATCACCGTCACCACGCCGTTGTGCTGACGAAACTCTCCCTCGGCCTCAGCTGGATCTAGAGTTCGAGGGACGTCACCGAGCTGAACGTGTGCATGACACTCACATACGTTCATATACGTGTATATCGCACCCAACTATTCTACCTATTCATCCCTTTGATCCTTATGTATAACCGTTACGTGCATACGCCTCTCAATAAACTCATCGGAGAGGCGAAATCTCTACCTAATAATAAATGGGCTACTGCTTCTGGCGGTACGTCATTAAAATTGCTCCCAAAGTTGCAAAATATTATACACCAATGCGATCTATAAGCTTTTTTTAGGGGTACCAATGCGATCTATGAGTGACAAAAAATGTTTGGCACGGAATCCTTTGCCTGGGCCGGCCCAAGCATAGGAACCTCCTATACTGCGCTCTACACGCTGGAGAAGACACAGAGACGCCTGTTTGGGCCAGCCCATGTGCTTGGCCGGTTTTTTAGTTTCATTTTTTATTTTTATTTTTATATTCCTTTTTTCTGCTTTAAATAATTTGGTACTTCAAAAAAACTTTTAAAATTTTAAAAACTAAGAATTTTGAAATAAAATGTTCAAAAAATATGTTTGTGAATTTAAAAAATGCTCGGGATTTGATATTCAAAAAAATGCTCGTAAAATAAAAACGTCTATAATTTTGAAAACAGTCCGTGCATGAAAAATTATTAATGAAACTGAACAAAATCTTTGCTAATTCAAAAATATTCATGTATTCTAAAAAAATTCCTAAAATTTTAAAAACAGTTCGTGAATTACAAAAGAGTTTATTGATTCATAAAATGTTTACTGATTCAGAAAATGTTCATGCATTTAAAAATATATAGACTTTCAGAAATGTCTACCAACTTCAAAAAAAATGTTTGTCTATTCTAGAATTGTTCGCCGGTTCAAAAGAAAATGCTTAAAACCCATTTGCAATATAATAAAATGTTCACAATTTTTAAAAAACGTTTGTGATTTTTGAAAATGTTCCAATTTTGTAAAAACAAATCACGAATGATCGAAGGTATGTAGTTAAATAGTAATGCTTCTGAGTCTTTGTGATTATATACCCATGTGAATGTTGAAGAATTGGCTGCCAGGGTGGATCAGAATATTATAGTATGTTTTTTAAAAATGTTTCTTGAAATTCAGAATAATTCTTTGAATTACCAAGTTTTTTTACAAGCACGATACTTCTTCAAAAATGTGAACATTGTTTCAATTTGTGAATAAATTTTAAAAAGGAAACATTTTCTTGCATTTCTGAACAATTTTCAAAATCATGCGTGAGATGTGAACAAAATGTGGTCATCGCCATTCGAGATTATGATCTTTTTTTCTCCGGTTGCAACACACAGGCCCTTTTGCTAGTTATGAGAAAAGGAATACACCCTCGTCTTATGTTATAGGACAGAGAATGTTTGATTAAGAAACATTTTATGTCACGAGACGGAGGGAGTACATGGGACACGTAAAAGGAACAAGAAAGCGACCCTGCGAAACCGGCGCGAACATGCAACGGAAGCGCAGATCAACCAACCGGGCGAGGACCGAAGAAATTGGGAGGAAGTCGTCCAAGTCCACCTCCGCAACACCAACCGCGTCGGCCAACGACGCGTCTTCACTTCATCATCCGTTCTCCCCTCTTCCCCCATATAACATCCCCTCTCATCCCCATTCCATTCCCACACCGCAATCAACTGCGTTCTCAATCTTCCACTCCCCCTTTCTCCCTCTCTCGATCGCCCATCTCCGCTCATATGGCCACTGAGGTCCTCCGCCCGCACAACATCCTGCAGCCGCAGCCGCAGAGGATCCGCGCAGCGCACCGGAGGCCCAGCAACCCCGGCACCACCAGGAAGTCTCCTCCTCCATCGGCCTCGACAACCGGCCGGAGAAACCATGGGCGGCCTTCCTCTTCTTCTTCTTCTTCTTCGTACGGGAAGGTGACGTCTGCGGCCGCTCCGGCGAGGCGCCCTGCCGCGGAAGTGTACGCCGGCCCGGCCTTCTCCGCCGCGTCCCCCGAGCCGAGCTCGCTGCCGCTGCCGCAGTTCCCGCTCCACAAGCCCGCGGCCGCCGTCAACGACGCCGCCACGCGCGACCTCAGGCGCATGCTGCGCCTCGAGTAGGAGTAGCTGGCCCGGTGCCGGCGAGCTAGTCGCCTAGTGGACACGAACTGTATGTTAGTTTAGTTCTAGCAGCAATCGTCGTTGAGTGGTGCGGCCGCGCGCAGCAAGGCCACCGGCTCGGTTTTATTGTGTGGCCGGTGGCAAGGCGCGCGGGGGCCGTGGGCTCCGACGACGGTGGTCTGGAATGAGCGCAGCCAGCAATGTGACCATCGATCGGCGTGATGTAATTACAAATAGAATCCCAAGTCCAAGAGTGCCTACGTATATGTACGACCTCCTAGTTGATCGATCCCCTTTGCCTCTAGTTAGCACGCAGGTGCCAAATGGCCAAGGTTAGGCTAAATTTGATTTCTGTTCATGTTGATTAAAAGAAGTTCATGTGTTCCAATCATGATGCTTTGAATGAGTCGCGTCAAGGATAAAGTTGATTCCTTTCTTTTTTGCGGGGAAGGATAAAGTTGATTTCAATCAGTCACATCCAAGATAATGTTGATTAATTAGTCGCACCAGCCGGCAGTTACAAGTAGGATGGCCAACCTACATGCCTTACGTGCGCTACCCGGAATGTTTGTTAGGGCGTGTACAATGGTTGATAAAATAGTTTTATCTTAAGTTTTACATTTAACTTATAGATGACAATAAAGAATGTCTACAATGGATTATATTTTAACTTTATCTTCAATAACTAGTTATTTCTAAAAATATGATGAGACATATTGTTCTAAAAGATCATTTCTTGTCTTCTCTTAAATAAGATAAGACAAGTTTTTTTTTATGAGTTCTCTCTCCTCCACCTCATTATTTATTCTACATGTCACTCCTAAAATAGCACCATTGTACATGCCCTTAGCAACTGAATTGGTCGTCTCAGTCGTGTTATTTTTGTTACCTCGACATACCTACCCCATCATAAACCCATACCCTCCAACCAACATGAGGTTAGTGCATCTCCAACGCCGGCACCAAGTCAAACACGTATACTGTGCGGATCAATAAGGACCATTCCGTGGACCGTGATGTAGAAGTTGGCCATTCAAAATAGGTCCGGTCAATTTAGAATTCAATCCAATCACAGAGCATCCGATCACAACCAAAAGGAGACAAGTTTGCATAATTTTCATATGCCTGATCGCAGAAAAATACTAGTTTGACAGCACATGCAAAAAAAAAATTCTGTCCTACTAGACCACCAATCGGAGCCTCCACACTCACCCTGCTGCCGCCACCTTCTCGGCCACCTCTTTTTCCCCACTGCAGTTGATCCTTCATGCGCTTCAACGTCATATGACGGCCGGCTTGCACGACCATCCTTGCATCGTCATCAAAATCCTCCATCTTTAAGGTCAACATCTTCATCTCCTCTGAAGCGGCTGCAATCTCAACCTTCTTCTCTTCAAGTATGGCATTCTTCTCTAAAAGCTTGAGCTTCTTCTCGATCGCCACCATCAACATGTTAACCTCTCAGCCTTACATGCCTTCTTGATGTCGGAGCACTTGGCACATGGCTTCTTCTTGGTACAGACTTTCTCAAACCTCTTTGTCATCTTGGCCGCCACCCCTTCTCGCTTGGCCTTCTCCTTCTCCCATTTCTTTCTCCGAAACCCTCCTCTAACCTTTATTGTCGACTCTTTTGCTGGGTCGGTTGGATCGCCTGTTTCTTCCTTGGTGCCCATGTTAGTGGTCTTGGCGGAGTTGGCAATGAATACATTCCACGTGGGTTGTCCATTCAACTTCAACCAAGAATGCATGAAGACAAAGTTCTTCTTCTACAACTTTCAAGAACAAATTGCATGCACGATAATGCTACAAAGTAAAACATTATCAACAGGTTGCATATCTGAGTCCGGCCAAATGACCGATAGAGCACATACGGCCAACAAGTTGCATATTCGTCCAACAAGTTGCATATCCGGCCAAATGATCAACACATATCACAACTTACTTGCTCGGAGATTTACGCATCACTTGTCCAGCGTATGATGAGTTGCTTCAGGTGGCCGCAATAGAATGTGGCCAGCTCCAAAAGCGATGGCTCCGACTCAGTTTTGGGTGGGCTGGAGGTGTTAGAGTTCTACGTGGTTGGTGTCCGGACTCCCGCAAAGTCCCTCTAGTTTGGTTTCGATTTGCAGGAAAGCAGAAGTTCGAAGTGGTCCACGGACGGATGCGGGATACCATTGGATGGCTTGTGGGGTCTAGATCGCTCGGTTTGGACGGATGCGAGAGATTTGAGTGCCGCATTGGAGATGCCCTTAGTATAGTTGGAACCCAAAAAGAGACGTTCCCCTCCCGGTCACCCGTGTGTACGAATGTGGGCTGACACGTCTGCGAAGTCCATGTCCATCTGTGTCGATTGTTTTTGCATTACCACAATTATCAAATTAACAATAATTTATTTACCTTTTGATATCCTGGACAACGCAGATGCATCCGCTGCACCCCTACCTGCGTGCACCAGGGACTAGTAAGCATCACTCATCCTGGGGGAGGGGCTCCCTTCCTGCTCTCGACGATGTTCCCGGTCCTTGTCGGTATCTCTTCTCTAGAGGCGTGGCCGCGTAAATGTAGAAATATTGATCCAAGGTAACATGACATTCGCCTATAGTAGGAATATTTATTCTCCTAAATAGCGTCTTTTGGACTTAAGCACACCACTGGCCCACGAGAGAACTTATTTGCACATCTGCCCCCTTCCAGTCATGCCTAACAGTTAGGCGGGTCTTCTGCACATTACTCGTGTAATGGTTAGGTATGTTTGACTTTCTGCCTTCCACTGTCGTTATTCTCCTTTTCTACATGACATTGGTTGGGCGCGTCATATTGCTAGTCATGACCTGCTTGTCACGCCTAACGTCACACATCAGAGCGTGTTAGTTATGACTGGGAGCCCGTTGTTGTTATCAGGATTCTCATGCACTCTAGCATCATGTCAGGCCGCTCAATCACCTCCTAACATGCCAATTGAACAGGTGTTCAACCAAAACCTCAAACGCCATGCCACATGACGCATTTCTTTATCCTGTGGCGCTATGTGAATTGTCATTGCAGTAAAGAGAAGACGTCAAATGACGCGGCATCTTACTGTTGTCATTCCCGTCAGTTGGGTAGTCGTGTTTTAGTTTTTCGTTCGAAAAGACATTTGGCGTAGTTCCTTTCATGTGATGCCAGATAAAATGTTGCTACAATAAATAAGTTGTTTTGCCTACCACGGCAAATGGATTGGCGCTTCCTAATTTCTTGCGAACAGGCATCCCACCAGCCCGATTGCATAGCATCTGTAAATGGACTTCCATATGGGTTGTTTTCTTCAATATCTTATGCGTTCAAGAGGCCGAGAGCCCACTGAGGAGGAACGGCCAAATCAGGGTTTTCCTAGACACAGGCTCAAGCCACGGAATGTGTGGTGTTACTACCCTCGTGTTTAGGGTTTTTTCGCCTCTGGCGGCGACTCTCATCGCCGCCTAGAGTTCTACATCTACCGCCGATCTGATCTCCTCCCAAGCCCGTCCGGGTGCTGGCGAGGGGAAGAAGCGATCGGCTAGGGTCTCTGGTCGGTTTTGTGATTTCGGCGTGCGGCTCCCGAGGATAAACCCTAGATGGCGGCCGAGGCGGGTTCGTCTTCCGCGGGCTGGTCGGGGAAGAAGCTGGAGGAGATGTTGTAGCACCTAGATTTCAAGGATGATGAGTTGGACGACGTGATCGTGGGGGAAGAGGATACGAAGAAGTATGCGGCAGATGCGCGCTGGCTAGCAATTGGGAAGGTCAACACGACCCGACAGTTCAGTTCATCGTCGATGTTCGAGACGATGAAATCCATCTGGGGATTAGCTCAAGTGCCAAAGTATAGAGAAGCGGGAGAAAATCTTTACATCTTCCAGATGTTTTGCTTGGGAGACTGGAAAAAAGTAGTTCATGGGGGACCCTGGCTGTTCCGAGGGATGGGCATGCTCATCGAGGATTATGATGGCAAGCAGGATCCTGAATCCTTCGTCTTTGATGGCTTGTACGTTTGGGCACAGATCCACGGCATACCTGAATTGTATCGCAAGATAGAAGTGGTTGATCAATTAGCCCGGCGCATTGGCCGAGTTAAGGAAACACAGCTCTCACCTAGGCTTTTCTATGAAGGTGACTACGTTCGGGTTCGTGCGAGGATTTTGGTCAGTAAACCCTTGACGAGGGTGATCCCGCTGACTGTGACGGGCGAGGGCAGGAAACTTTTACAAGTCAAGTATGAGAAGATACCATATTTTTGCCAGATCTGCGGTCTCATGGGTCACAACCACGAGGAATGTGGTGATGGAGTTTGGGAGGCAAAAGACAAGCAATGGGGTGGTTGGATGCTAGCGCAGCGCAGAGAGACTCCGCAGGAGCAGCAAGGAGGCCGAGCCCCTCGGGGGCAGGTTCGGAGGTCGGGGCAGAGGGAGATCAGGACGTGGGGCATAGCCGCGCCAACCCTCCCCAGTACGTAAACGTTCGTCACAGGAGGCGGGCCTGAACTCGGATGCCGAGGAGGTAGAAGATGATGTCACAAGCCCTCTGAAACCAACAAATGCTGCGGAAACTATGCAAAATGAGACGATGGGAGCACGTAGGAGCCTGGTTTTTGACCAAAACACTGAGACTCCCGGCGGAGACAAGCAATCACATGAATCTGAAGTGGGCATGACAGGTGATCATAGCCAGGCTTTGGTTCCCACCCCTCCACTACCAGCAAATTACGTATCCCCTAGAGAAGCAAAAAAGGCGAAAACAACATCTTCACCAAAGAAGCAGAACACCAACAAGATGGCCTTATTGGCGGGCTCCGACGCGGAGCGCCGCCAGGCCCAATGAAAATCTTAAGCTGGAACTGCCGCGGGATAGGCGACCCCGCGACAGTTCGTGAGCTCCGCGACCTCGTGGAGATTAGCTCGCCATCTATTTTATGTTTAGTTGAGACTCAGCTACAGAAAAGCCGTATGGAAGGTCTCCGTGTGTCGTTAGGTTTTGATTTCAGCTTT